CTGGAGTCATGGGTTGAGCTTGAGCTAGCCCAGCTCCACCTCTGTGGATCTGATGGGTGGAGGGATAGGGTGAGGGTGTGCTTAGACCCTCTAGCTCCACCCATTATGCCCAAAATAACATCCAGAGAGGGGAAGATGGACTCATGCCTCTGCAGTGAGCAGCCTCTCCTATTGTGCCAGTTTCTGTTGGACTCTGACGCCACCTAGTGACTGAGGACAAAAGAGCAACTGTAGCAGCAGATCTCTCGACTGTTTTTAGTGGGGAAAGAGACCAGCTCCTGGTGTAGATTAATTCACATACATACACTCACCTAAAGGATTATTAGGAACACCTGTTCAATTTCTCATTAATGCAATTATCTAATCAACCAATCACATGGCAGTTGCTTCAATGCATTTAGGGGTGTGGTCCAGGTAAAGACAATCTCCTGAACTCCAAACTGAATGTCAGAATGGGAAAGAAAGGTGATTTTAAGCAATTTTGAGCGTTGCATGGTTGTTGGTGCCAGACGGGCCGGTCTGAGTATTTCACAATCTGCTCAGTTACTGGGAACCATTTCTAGGGTTTACAAAGAATGGAGTGAAAAGGGGACAACATCCAGTATGCGGCAGTCCTGTGGGCGAAAATGCCTCGTTGATGCTAGAGGTCAGAGGAGAATGGGCCGACTGATTCAAGCTGATAGAAGAGCAACTATGACTGAAATAACCACTCGTTACAACCGAGGTATGCAGCAAAGCATTTGTGAAGCCACAACACGCACAACCTTGAGGCGGATGGGCTACAACAGCAGAAGACCCCACCGGGTACCACTCATCTCCACTACAAATAGGAAAAAGAGGCTACAATTTGCAAGAGCTCACCAAAATTGGACAGTTGAAGACTGGAAAAATGTCGCCTGGTCTGATGAGTCTCGATTTCTGTTGAGACATTCAGATGGTAGAGTCAGAATTTGGCGTAAACAGAATGAGAACATGGATCCATCATGCCTTGTTACCACTGTGCAGGCTGGTGGTGGTGGTGTAATGGTGTGGGGGATGTTTTCTTGGCACACTTTAGGCCCCTTAGTGCCAATTGGGCATCGTTTAAATGCCACGGCCTACCTGAGCATTGTTTCTGACCATGTCCATCCCTTTATGGCCACCATGTACCCATCCTCTGATGGCTACTTCCAGCAGGATAATGCATCATGTCACAAAGCTCGAATCATTTCAAATTGGTTTCTTGAACATGACAATGAGTTCACTGTACTAAAATGGCCCCCACAGTCACCAGATCTCAACCCAATAGAGCATCTTTGGGATGTGGTGGAACGGGAGCTTCGTGCCCTGGATGTGCATCCCACAAATCTCCAGCAACTGCAAGATGCTGTCCTATCAATATGGGCCAACATTTCTAAAGAATGCTTTCAGCACCTTGTTGAATCAATGCCACATAGAATTAAGGCAGTTCTGAAGGCAAAAGGGGGTCAAACAAAGTATTAGTATGGTGTTCCTAATAATCCTTTAGGTGAGTGTATATTACACATTTTAATTACAACATTTTGTATGTGCACTAAACTAGTGGATAATGCTGGTTTCTCCCCACAATGTAAACAAAACTGACCCATACACCACCACAAGCAGACTATGATCAATGACACATATTAATAAAAGGCCAAAAATAATAAGACAAAACACAACTTAGCTTGGTAAATTGTTTATATATACTGTATCTTTTTTATCTTTGCAAATACAGCATACAAAAAAACACAAATGGTAACATTTCAAAACATTAAAGCGAGTCTGAGCCATTAAGACATGTAGTGAGAATGTTCATCTACAATTTTACAAATTAAAAACAACAACAGCAACAATAACGAGACACTCATCCTTACTCTCCCGACATTTCATCACTCACGCTTTAGGCTGCCCTCCGCTCCCGATCCAAATTCACAGTTGGCCGTAATACTGATTCTTTTAATGGTGCTTGTCACTTTATTCAAAAATATTGAACACTTAATGTAGTATTTAAAAGGAAAAAAAGTGGATACATTTGTATTTACATAAGCTTATCAAATGAGTTTCAAATACATTGTATATATCTTTTTTTATACATATATATTTCTTTATATTTATAAATGCTTACTTCTCAAGGTTCAACTCATCTTCCCAAATCCAGACGCACTCCAACAGAATCCCAATCCGAATTAGAATCAGACTCAAAATCGGAATTCAAAATAGTCTGTTTATTCATTTGCTCGTTGCTCCACAATCCATCATCCCCATAACCGGGTTTTCACAGGCAAGTGGAAGCGCGTGTATGAGCACGCATGCGTTACATTATGAGCCAAAATAACACGCGTGTCTTGACTCTCTAAACCAGAGGGGGTCAGACTCAGTTCCTGCTGGGCCACAGTTTACCTCCAACACACATCCCTGCAGCCTGAAGGACTGGTGCGTTTAATTGGGGAACATTCATGTGGGACTTAAATATGTCATCGAGGGATATATAAAAGATTTTAAAATAAATATGGTGGGGTAAAAAAAGATTCATTTGGAAGCAAAGGTTTACAGATCACATCATTGGATTAATACACAGCTTAATCCAAAAGCAGACATTTTGCTCTGTCTTGTTTGGGTTTAGGAAATGGAATAAAATAGGCTATATTACGTTGCCCATCCTCTCTGGATACCTGGAATGAGTGTTACAAGTACCCCAGAAACACAACGTTATATAATTTTTGTTGCATAAACACCATCAATCTGATGAGGAGCTTCGGATCTTCAAATGTTTCTCTATGGCGCTGAAACCTAAAGATGGCCGAGTTCCGGTCTCTGTGTAACTGATACTCAACTGCCATTGGCTCATCTGGGTTCGAGGGGAGGGGCTTCCCGATAGGTCACTAAGGTTGAAGCTAAACTCTGCAGAGCTGTGGCCCTCAAGGAACTGAGTTTGACACCCCTGCTCTAAACCATTATACAGCTCCCAAATTACCTGCAAATACAAATGTATATTTAAAAAAAAATCTAAAATAATAATCAAACGAGGCTTTTAGTACCAGAACATATATAGCGCTTGCAGCACAAGAGACATCATACATTCAGCATGGGGTAAGAGACAGGCACTCTATGGACAGCTATGCTTTTGGGGTCCTCCCTCTCCCAGCGCAAACATCCACACAACTTTCTCCAAACCCATCGGAAAGACGTCCCGAAACCCTGTATGCAAACAGAGGACCGATACCAAGAGTTTCTGTTCATGATCGAAACAATGTGATGTATAAATAAGGTGCGGTCACATTAGCAACATTTTGCTTTGAAAAGCGGTCCATTGTTAATAGCAGGGAGATGTTTGAAGCGCCACTCGCACAGAATTCATTTTCAAAACAAGCAACGCTGCGATTCTCGTGACCAACTCGAACATGAGCAAAATCTTCATGGGGAATCTTTTCGCCCTCACACGAAACTCCCGATCACAGATTCCTACTGGAATAACTGGATTTCGCTCGCAAAATCAGCAGAGCGACAGTAAAGCCCCGTTCACACCAAGGACGACAACTATAACGTTCCAAAACTCATTCTAAAAAAATTAAAAATAGCAGAGTCCACACCACAACTATAATGATAACGGCACAGAGAAACGATATCACTTCCAGAACGATTCTTTCCAGCTAATGAGCGATAAAAACATTCACAACCAATCAGAATCCATCCTGCTTTATAGAGCTCGAGCATTTAAAGCGGCAGACACTTAGGGGCCGTTTACACGACACCGTTCTCAACTAAAAACGTAAAACTTTTTATGCGTTTTGGCCATTTGTTTACACGACATCGACGTTTTGTGTGCCTGAAAACGCAGTTTTGAAAACGGGTTTCAAAGTGCAAGTTTTTGAAACCGGTCTCCGCGTAAACAACAACAACGCCAATCTCTGAAAACGATGACGTCATGCGTAAATCACATCTTAAAACAATCTTAAATCACACGTGTGTTACGTGTTCAGTCTATAGTGTTTCATCGCCATCTAATGGCCTGGCAGCAGAATACAGCGGTTTTTTTTATCGTTTTCACGATCGTTTTAACAATGGTGTCGTGTGCACGCGGAAAAACTTTCGTTTTAAGCATATCGTTGTCGTGTAAACGTACCCTTAGAGTGATATTGTGCGCTGGTGTACACACTAACATAGTTATCGTCCTTGGTGTGAATGGGCCTTAAATGCGACCGCACCTATAGACCTGCATGAGTGAATATACCGAAGCACCTGGAACGTCTCGCTTTCAACATCTCATTTAACACACGCGCTAGCATCTTCTGTTCGAGAACACACACACACTAAACTACACAGGAGAGACGAGCGCACTTGGCTTCTAGAAGCTTTTTGTAGCAGAGAACCTGTTCCATAGTTATTCAAAGGCTCATGAGCTGTAGACAGACAAACCCTAGATCACACATACAATGACTTTTGGTATCTTAAAAAACTAAATCAATCGATGCGTGGTCCCTATATTACCTATGGCCCGATAAAGGTAAAGGAATGCCCTTGGCTGGCTACCTGCCATAAATATCAAAATTATACAATTTTACTCTCAACTTAGCAGAGGAAACACATCTCTGCATTATCTAAAAAAATGACATAAAAGATTTCCGCACACACGTCAGGAATTCCCAGGTCCCCAAACAAAAGGTTTCGATTGGCTAAACGAAAGGAGAATAACAGATGCGAGTTCTTGCCACTTCTCGCGCGCCACATCAAACCCGGCAGCTTTCGAGTGGGAGTGCGACCGTCTTAAAGTTCTTCATAATGATGTTGACGCTCAGATGCTTTTGTAAATTGGGCATGTCTGTCTGGCAGCCGAAATCGAAAAAGGCAGACTAGCTTCTTGGTTTGTGGTTTGAATTTGTCGTCACCGTTTCCATTCTCTTTTTATGTTGAGGTTTTGTTTTGTTATTTTTCGGAATATTCTATTATGGCACAAAGACATAAAGAGCGCATTCACACTTGCGCTCCCGTTCCCTCCCCCCTCCCCTTCCCCCCCGACCCCTCGGCCTCCTCTCAGCCATCGTCGGGTGTGCTCAGCTCCTCGGGGAACTCGTCGGACGAGCCGCTCTTGTGGATGCGTCCATCGCTGCGCATGCTGTGGAAGGTTTTCTTAAAGGCTTCCATCATGGAGTGGGCCAGTTTTTTAGCCTCTAGTTTGTTCTCGCACTCCACGGCGTGGCAGTCCATCTGGAACGTCAGATCGTCGTTGATTTGCCGGTAGATCCACGCGAACACGTTGGGGCTAGTGTCGTGATCCGCCGTGCAGTACGCGATGCGGGCCACCTGGAAGGTGTCCATGGCAACCGTGGCCTCTCCTCGCCCGTCCTGGTGATGCAGTCGTACCTGGAAGGGACGGATTTCCAGGACGGCGCTGCTGGAGGTGATGGAGTCGTCGTGAGTGACAGACGTCCGCTTCGTGTCGCATAATCCCATCACAGCCGACTCTGTGCAGCCCGACAGGAAATGAGTGCCGGAAATCGTCACCTTGCCAAGGTAGGTCACCTGGTGAAAGCAGAAAACGTCAAAAGATGAATTGTGTACGGATTCACGCAAATGCCCACAACGAAAGACTGCTTATTTGTTTGAATAAAATATTCTGAAAACAATGTACATTTTGGCTCTAATTATTACCGAATATGTTCATATTTTTTGCCCTACTGAGAATCCGGTTTACTGTCTGTTTGTATTTCTATTTTTACTAGCATTTCATTTCTCATTTATTTCTTCAAAAGGATATCATATCAAGTAGTGATTTGTCAACTTTGAGTAAAATATTTGCAACACTAAGATGTGGAAAGTTATCTTAATAATAAAATAAATAAATAAACACTACTGTTTAGAAGTTTGGGGTCAGTAAGATGTATTTTTTATTTTTTTTAATAATTTATGCTCACTAAAGCTGCATTTATTTAATTAGAATTACAGTAAAAACAGTAATATTGTGAAATATTATTACAATTTATAAAAAAAACGTTTTCTATTTGAATAGATTTTAAAAATAAATGTATTTCTGTGATCAAAGCTGAATTTTCAGCATCATTACTCCAGTCTTCAGTGTCACATGATCCTTCAGAAATCACTCTAATATGATGATTTGCTGCTCAAGAAACATTTCTTATTATTATCAATGCTGAAAACAGTTTTTGCTGCTTCATATTTTTGAGGAAACTGATAGATTTAAAAAAAAAAAAAAAAAAAACCTTCACGTGTTCTTAAATCAAAGCTTTGATTGAAAATGGTGTAACTAAAATTTCAAAAACGTATGAAACCAACAAGAATACATAAGTACATTTCCACGGATTTGGCTTTTTAAAGGTTTTCCATCACATTCGTATTTGTCATTGGAGTTGTTGTTTGCAAATCAGTTAGAAAGTAAAATGAGTAGTTGAGAATTACCTGTTATGTGTTTGAATGGGTGTGCTTTTGGCAAGAGTTTGGGAAGAAAATGTGAAACTACAGAAGAAAAAAAACAAAAAACCTTGTCTGGCTGTGTGTTTTCCTCTTCCAGACATTCTGTTTAGTCTGCAACCACAAGGTCTAATTCTGGCCAGCGCCTCTCCTTCCCATTGCTTTAACCTTCTTTAGAGAATGCAATTAAACACAATAGTTTGTATTGCTTAACAGACTGACCAAACCTTGAAGACAAGCAATGGGACAAACATCTGTGCTGTCCTGGGTTGGAGAATTTCATACCAGACCGACTGAAGAATGCAAAGTCATTCCTCTTATGAACACGACTCTAATATAGTCCGTCTCTCTCTCCAGATGCGTTTGGTTTTTCTTAATCTCATTCTTTCTCTTGTGTCTGAAACAGAGAGATGAGGCCTTGCTGCGAGCCGGGAGAGGAAATGCCAGTAATATCTCTTCTCTTCTGAAAACGATTTACATCAGAGAGAGAGAGAGAGAGAGAGAGAGAAAGAGAGGATGAGTGTTCTCTTCTGGATGAAGTGTTGGAAAACATTAGACTTGAAAGAAGACCCTCACTACACTATGACTAACAGATGAGGCAGCAAGAGAGAGAGAGTGTGTGTGTGTGTTTCCCAATACCTGATGGATAACATTAAGCCTTATTATCCTAAATGAACACTATTACCACAACAAGAACAACTGTGCAAATACTGTTGGTTAAAAAAAATAAAAGTACACTACCGTTCAAAAGTTTGGGGTCAGTAAGATCAATGCTCTTATTCAGCTAGGACGCATTCAATTGATCAAAAGTGAGAGACATTTATAATGTTACAAATATTTCTATTTCAATGGATCCTGGAAAAAATGTGTCACAGTTTCCAGAAAAATATTAAGCAGCAAAAAACTGTTTTCAACATTGATAATAATCAGAAATGTTTCTTTAGCAGCAGATCAGCATATGATTTCTGAAGGATCATGTGACACTGAGGAATTCAGCTTTGCATCAAAGGAATACATTACATTTTAAAATACATGAAAATAGAAAATAGTTATTTGAAATTGAAATAACATTTCACAATTTTTTACAGTATTTTTGATCAAATAAATGCAGATAAAAATATTTAAAATATATATATATATATATACACTCACCGGCCACTTTATTAGGTACACCTGTCCAACTGCTCGTTAACACTTAATTTCTAAGCAGCCAATCACATGGCGGCAACTCAGTGCATTTAGGCATGTAGACATGGTCAAGACAATCTCCTGCAGTTCAAACCGAGCATCAGTATGGGGAAGAAAGTTGATTTGAGTGACTTTGAACGTGGCATGATTGTTGGTGCCAGAAGGGCGGTCTGAGTATTTCAGAAACTGCTAATCTACTGGGATTTTCACGCACAACCATCTCTAGGGTTTACAGAGAATGGTCCGAAAAAGAAAAAACATCCAGTGAGCGGCAGTTCTGTGGGCGGAAATGCCTTGTTGATGCCAGAGGTCAGAGGAGAATGGCCAGACTGGTTCGAGCTGATAGAAGGGCAACAGTGACTGAAATAACCACTCGTTACAACCGAGGTATGCAGCAAAGCATTTGTGAAGCCACAACACGCACAACCTTGAGGCGGATGGGCTACAACAGCAGAAGACTCCACCGGGTACCACTCATCTCCACTACAAATAGGAAAAAGAGGCTACAATTTGCAAGAGCTCACCAAAATTGAACAGTTGAAGACTGGAAAAATGTTGCCTGGTCTGATGAGTCTCGATTTCTGTTGAGACATTCAGATGTTAGAGTCAGAATTTGGCGTAAACAGAATGAGAACATGGAACCATCATGCCTTGTTACCACTGTGCAGGCTGGTGGTGGTGGTGTAATGGTGTGGGGGATGTTTTCCTGGCACACTTTAGGCCCCTTAGTGCCAATTGGGCATCGTTTAAATGCCACGGCCTACCTGAGCATTGTTTCTGACCATGTCCATCCCTTTATGGCCACCATGTACCCATCCTCTGATGGCTACTTCCACCATGTCACAAAGCTCTAATCATTTCAAATTGGTTTCTTGAACATGACAATGAGTTCACTGTACTAAAATGGCCTCCACAGTCACCAGATCTCAACCCAATAGAGCATCTTTGGGATGTGGTGGAACGGGAGATTCGCATCATGGATGTGCAGCCGACAAATCTGCGGCAACTGTGTGATGCCATCATGTCAATATGGACCAAACTCCCTGAGGAATGCTTCCAGCACCTTGTTGAATCTATGCCACGAAGAATTGAGGCAGTTCTGAAGGCAAAAGGGGGTCCAACCCGTTACTAGCATGGGGTACCTAATAAAGTGGCCGGTGAGTGTATATCTTACCAACCCCAAACGTTTGACCGGTAGTGTGTATTAACAAAAACATTTTTGGATGGATAAAAAAAAATAAAAAAATACAAATAAAATGGCTGACAAATAAAATGGCAGAAATATCGTTTTAAAAACATGAACTGAAACTGCACTTTTAACAGACTAGATACACTTTAAAAGAAGAAGAGCAAGTTTAGAGCAAATATGTTTTGACTAAAGATTACAACAACAACAAACTTCTTTGGAATAACCACCAGCACAGGTGATTTGTTCAGAATAACACCAGGAAGTATTTCGCGTAAAATAAAAACCTGATTAAATCCAAAATAAAATCAAAATAATAATAAAAAGGGGTGTACTTTTAAAAACTATAATCATCCTGATCCTCACTCTTTCGTCAAGTCATTCTTTATGTCTGTTCCTGGGTGGGACTGTGTGTGTGTGTGTGTGTGTGCACCTCAGGTGGAAACTGTGAGAAATCATCAAACACTGAAGCAGATTGATGCTTCTCAGTCACCACAGAGTCTAGACAGCAACAGAGCGCTCATTCATCTCTCCGTCCTCTTCCTCCGCAGGCGACCGAGAGCTTTCCAACATTATAGCAGCTCTTCCAGATGTCTGATACACAGCTCTCGAAGTCGCAAATATTGCGCAATACATTCATCTGACATCAGGACAGTAATAATATGCAAATACGGTGGCCTATGAAACACACTTGTGAATTGTAAATCAACAAAATATCATATTTCCACACAGTGGGTTTGCATGCACAGTTGAACCACACACACACATTCACACACACACAAAGTACAAGGAGAAACAATGTTGTTTGTGGAACACTGTTATGCAACATGTGGCCACAATTACTCACGATGTGTGTGATTCACTTGTTTACTATTTTATACCGAGGGCCGGGTGTTATAGCTAGAAATAACAATTTCTTCAGCCATTTCATCAAATATTCTTGATGTTAATGCATTTACTTCAAAAAATGTGTTTTATTCCAGAAGAATCATATTTTAAATGGTTTATTATGACAAAACTCATTCTTAAATTCCAAAAAATTTATTTTGCCTTGTCCAATGGTGTGTGACTATCTAAATAACATTCTTTACCCTTAAACAACGTAAATAAAATTAAGTTTTTAAATACTTGTTCAATACTTTAAAATTAGTGTATTTAAAATAACATGTATAAAACATTTTTTACAACTTGATTGTAGGAAAGTAGAAGTTTTTGCACACAACGGCAACATAAAAAGTGCATAATTACATATATCAATTAAATACATTGCCCAGCCCTACTTTATAGAGACCAATTAATAAATAGCACCAATAAATACATGAAAATCCGTCACGAAACAACACAATTTTCCAGTGCACATTCTTATAACCCTGGCTTTTGATTCATGCGTCCAGCAGGGGGCAGCGTATCAAACGACAACTGCCGTTCAAGACTCCATGTGTAATTCAGAAAAAAGGAATTCTTCACCAGCTTGGCATTCTAGAGCGGGATGTTAATGTTCTGCCTGACTCCAGAATGAGAGGCGCATGTGTCCCCTGACGGCCGCAGCTGTACGATGAGGGCATGTGCACACACACACACACACGTGTGTATGTGAAAGAGTGCGTTTGTCTGCTGCTTAAGCCAGAGAAAGTTTGTTCTGAGGGGAAGTGTTGACTATATTTGGTCTGTGTGTGTGTGTGTGTGTGTGTGTGTGTGTGTGTGTGTGTGTGTGTGTGTGTGTGTGTGTGTGTGTGTGTGTGTGTGTGTGTGTGTGTGTGACTATGTCTGTTAACAGAAGGTGTGTGTGTGTGTGTGTGTGTGTGTGTGTGTGTAAACAGCACAGACTTTGTAAACACTGAATGAATCTTTTACCTCTGACTCCATAATGAAGGCTTTCACAAACATACAGAACTAACTAACATACACATAAATACACTCTTACCAAACACACTTTCTCACAAAAAAGCATGTAAATGACGATTCGCTAGTACAAACACAAACACTCATGCTATGAGTCACCCTCTCTTAGTGTTGCTACATGCTGAAGTCCAGACACATTCTCCACACACACACGTATGTGAACGCAGATGCTAATAGCTATACAAGCTCAATTTCGTGCGTCATTGCTTTTCGAAATTTGTCAGGACTCAAAAAATAATGCTGGAAAAATATGTGTTTCATTCTCAAAGTTGCACTATTACGACATTTGCGTCATGGCACAGCAACAATCTGAACAGAATCTTGTTGTGAAACTCAGCCGTTACACAAATATCGAGCCCGATCTAAAGTAGTGGTTGACCAATTGATCGGTTTTGGTGATTAATCGGCACTGATAACTGATTGCTGGAACCGTCGGTTATTGGCAAAAATACATATCGATAGTTTTTCTGGGTTGCGTTCGTTGCTGGAGCGGATGGCATTATACAGTACCGTACGAGAAAAAAAAAGAAGGGCATATGACAACACCAGGGTGGGTAAATGATGACTTCATTTTCATTTTAGGGTGAACTATCACTATAAGGACAGGAACAAAAAAACCAAGAGAAAATTAAAAGAGAAATGGGTTTAATCCATATTATACTTAACTAAAACCATTAAAAAAAAATTGTTACTAAAATTAAAAATTAAATCAAATGAAAACATATTGAAATATATAAAAATAAAAAAAAGACAAAAACACCAAACAAAGTTACTAAAATTTTAAAATTAAAGTGAAAACAAAAAAATAAAAACTAATTCAAATTGTATAAAAAAAAATATATATAATATTATCTCAATGATACTAATATAGCACTGGTTTAAACAGAGCAGACATTTCATGTATGCCTAGAGAGAAGCACACACACACACACACACACACACAGAGCGGAGCCGATCGCCATGGAAACAGCGTGTAGACTAGCTTTGTTGAGTTGTTACATAATCAAAGGGCCTCAAAGGATGATTAGGTCGTTCTTTCTGTCTGTCATTCTATCACTAACTCTCTCGAACAGCTACTCTCCTGCAAGAACACGTGGTCTGTTAGATCATCCGACTGCACACCGGCTAAAACGGCTTTTGCCATTTCAAGAAAACTGCGAATCATTATAAAACCGGTCTACACCCAAAACTGTAGACACGCTTGTGGTCGAGTGTGTGTGAGTGAGTTTAGTGTAGGCCAGATGCTTTATATTCTCTGAGGTCCATGTTAAAATACACAGATGAAAATATGTGAAATTTTTCAACGGAGCGCAAATATGTGCCCACAGTTATTCCTTTAATGTTAGAAATCTGGCATAAATTATGCCGGAGCTCTACAGCTTTTAAGACAAAGAAAGAAAGAGAAACGCTAGTGAGGTGGAAGGAGCGTGACAAACACATAGACAGACAGAGAAGGGATGCTGTGTTTGTCTTAGCCAGCACTTTGCCATGAATGGATGCTGAGGTATCCATGGCAACAACACCGCAGCTTCTTTAGTAGGCCGATATCCATGAGAGATTTTCTATATTTTTAGCTTATGTATTATTCGGCTGTTCTTCCTTTTCAATACATGCATGTCATTGCATATTCTGCAAGGACAGATGGACCAACACAAGTACATGGCTGTGTCCAAATGCGTCAAGCAGCGTGTCATTGGTACGCTATTAGTGACACTGAATGGAACTTCAAAAATATTGTTTTCCAAACAGACCGACCCGGCCAAACTCACACCATTACTCTCAGTAAACCCATTTAGATATTTGGTCTTATGTGGGTCATTGTGGAGCATCTCTTTTACGTTCAAAAATAAGGTCAATTACATGATGCTTTTCTTTCCAGATCTATATATTTATTTAATAATACTCTTTTAAAGAAAATGAACGTGTGCATTAAAAATGTACATTTTGATGTTTTTGGAAGGCAAAAAGTAAAAAATGTCAGGATGATACAATTATTCTAATATCATGATGAAGAAGAATGAATAAGATGACTCATTAAAATATGACATTCTTGAAAAGAAAATCTTATTAAATAGTAGGGCTGGGCGATATGGCCAAAAAATCATATCTCGGTATTTTTTGGTTAAATGGCGATATACAATATATATCTCGGTACTTTCTACGTTTTTCTATTTGGATAAAGAAAATCTGTATTTATTTAAAAATATATATATTTCACATTCTGCAAGATGCTGTCCTATCAATATGGGCCAACATTTCTAAAGAATGCTTTCAGCACCTTGTTGAATCAATGCCATGTAGAATTAAGGCAGTTCTGAAGGTGAAAAGGGGGTCAAACACAGTATGGTGTTCCTAATAATCCTTTAGGTGAGTGTATATTTAATTCATACAGTGAAGACTATGCAGTGTTTTAAAGAATATACCCGTCAACATCCAGGGTTTAATGACTATTTTAACGACTGATTGTTTAATGCAATACTGTGTTTTAAATTGTGCATATAGAGAAGTCAATAGGCTTGTCTGGATATTCTCAATAGTACATCTCAAAATTGGGAAGAGCGCGATTCAGATTGTGATTGTTTGTAAGATAGTGATATGAAATTTTGGTAAGATCGCCACACCTAGGCGTAAGGTGGAAAAAAAAAACCTTTTATTAGCTTTTTCTTGGTTGATGATGATGGTGCACCACATGACGTTAAATTTAAACTTTTTTTCAAAACCACATGAAACCAACATGAATACATTTCTAAGGCTGCATTTACACTGCAGGTCTTGATGCCCAAATCCGATTTTCTGACTATATCCGATTTTCATCATCTTTTAAAAGTGACCCGTATCCGATTTTTGCATTTACACTATACACTGCTGGAACTACCAAATGTAGACGTTCTGACCCGGAAAAGGAAGTAAAACAGCACGAAATACAATGGATGCAGATGCGAATAAAATTATCCAGTGTTTTGCTTTCCACAATATTTTTAAAAGTCATTAAGCTTTTTATCTTACGGTGGCACTGTAGCCACGAGTGCTTAAAACCGTGCCTCCCCATATCTCGTGAAATGTCTTCAAACACGGATTTATTTCTGTAATAACTCTGCATTTTTGCTTGCACTGTCACTGTCTTGCTCGCCCTAAACACTCAAAAGACATGAAACCTCCGCATTGCTCCACTGTGTGTATCCTTCGTCCTCGATCGCGCCTATAATAAGTCATGTGATCTCAGTTGGTGGTGTCCACCTGAGTTGACGTCACTTTTTTAATGACGTACGACTCGCATTTACTGGGGAATATCCGATTTGTCTGCTTACATGGCACACGCAAATGCACGTATCCGATTCATATCCGATTTATTACCACATATGAGTGAGGCCTGAATCCGATCTGAGAAAATCAGAATCCATGCGTTTTTTTCCTGCTTACACATTCATGGGTCATATCCGATCTGTGCCACATGAGAGGAAAAAAAATCTGATTTGGGTCACTTGAACCATGCAGTGTGAATGGGGCCTTAGAATATGTACATGCATTTTAAACAAGATTTTAAAAAAAGATTTGTCCTTTTCACTGTCTTTATCACAGGATACTCTTATTTGTCACTGAGGATTAATCATTCTTTGGGCGTGAATGAATGCAAATGGCTTTCAGCAAAAGTTGGAGTGACCATTCTTTAATTCAGATTTCAGATGCTTCAAAATCTACTCTTTGAATGTGGATGGCAGAGATCAGCAGGTTCTGTACCTTATATCCCGTGTGTGCGCGGTTCTTGTTGTGAGGTGTGGTGGAACACAGCTCGATGGCTTCGGGTTCATGAAAGATCACCGTAGGCAGCGGGTCCTTCCGCAGCGTCAGCACGTTGAGTTTGGTCTTAAGCATTGTCTGTAAATGCTGAAAAACAGAACATCTCAGTTTAGGCCACAGTTTGAACGTTGTTTAAAAAGTACAGCTTCACAGGTGCCTCTGTTTAAACTTATAAAACACCACTTCCACAACCAGGACGGATGAATGAAATGTTTGTGCATAACATCCAAGGTACTCCATAAAGTTTATGGCACACTTGTGTGATATTACACAGACGTCCGTCTCTTTCAGACCACTCTTATTTTGTAAGAGTAAGAGTATTTATATTTAATAAATACAATATGTGACAGCTCTGTGCGTTTCCATCCAAAGTTGCAAGAAATGTAACTTTGGAATATCACACAAAACATTTGCGAATATAGCACCGTTTCCATCCCATGTGTTCAAGAGTATAAAATCATCACTTCCTGTTAAATTAGTGCAAAATACGTGAAATAAAAATGTAAGTTGCTGGAATCGTGGAAGCCACTGTGGCTTTTTTGAACATCATATATGACTACAAACCAACATTTGAAATGCTGTGCAATGAGATTGGTCTGCTAGTTAGTCCAGTTATCCAATCACATCATCTGTTGAGGCAGTCACGTGATTTTTTAGTTTTTTGTGTGTGTGTGTGTGTGTGTCGAGGGATTTATTCTGTAAATGTGTGTTTCATCGTAATCTATGCTCATTTATTCTTACCGAATTTGAAAGAAAAATGATATGACAGTGAATTTATGCGCATCTTGGAGTTTTTCATGCGATATTCCAAAATGTGCATACAAATAGATGGATGGAAACATAGCAATTGATTCACTAAAAAGAACCAGTGCAAAAGAGTCATTTGCCCCTGAATCACACTTAATTTAAACATGGTAAAATGTGTTAAATGGAGAGTACTACACTCTTATCGGTAGCTGACAGCAAAGTTAGCCAAAACAAACTAAACAAAGATTTATGGGGCAGGGTTTAGAAGTTGGTGAATGACGGGCGTTCAGATTCATCTGAATCTGACTCATCTGAGTTATAGTCATAGATGATAGAGGATTTTGAAGGGAGAGAAGAAAGTGGAGATTTATAGAATATGGGAAAGAGGGTGAATTGAGTGAGAGAGAGGAACCGAGCCACATGTATAAATGCACCCTGAGCCCAGAATCAGCACTTTACAACTTTCTGAGAGAAAGAAACATTCCTGTGGTCTGAGGATAAAAGAATAAAGAGAGAGGCAGAGAGAAAAAAAAAACACAGAGAGAGAGAGAGAGAGAAATAAAGGGAGGTCTGTTCAGGGGAGGGCGAGATGTTGAAATAAATCTGGAATTTTATTCATAATATTTTCACTGTGTTTCATTTTTATTCTCAGTCAGGAAGTCAAAAGACTGTAGGAACCCGACTCTATTTACAGCTTATTCAACAGAAGACTAGGGCTGGGTACCGAGTTCGGTACTTTTTAGGTACCGACCGAATTGCCTCGATACTACCGAGTATCGAAACATGTCTTGTTTTTCGGTACCACATTTCGGTACCTAAGTGGTTAATCTCGTCAACGTCAGTGAAACAATAAGCATGCAGCATGATTGGCTGTGGCGGAAAAACACTAGTTTACGCGGCTGCCCAGAGACGCGGCTCGTCGCACGTGAGGCTGCAGTGTGTGTGTGTGTGTGTGTGTGTAAGCGTGCGTCCCAACCCAGATAGATAGAAAATATGTGGAAATGATCCAAAGTGTACCTATGTCATGTGCCAGACTCGATGCCAGATGCACGCGATGCAATATTTTCGACAAGATCATTGCTGCCAAGACCGGCAACACGGTAAATCTAGGCACTGAAGCGCACAAAATACACTTGAGAGTAATGGTGTTCACATCGAACGCGAATAGAGCGTCAAATACGCGTCTATCGCGTCTAGTTCGACGCTTGAATCTTCAGCTCGAGTTCAAATTTTTCAACTTGCGCGGAAGACGTTCGCGGCAAACGCGTCACCCAATTCGCGACGCCCGGCGCGAATGATGCGTCTATTCGCGTCTTTGCATTGACTATGTATGTAATCTACTCGCACAAATAATTAAATTCGCGTTTGGTGTGAACACACCATTAGTAAACACTTGTTCATTAATAAATAATTAAAATATCTCCTTGCTATTGTTTCCACATCCATAATCATACTTTTGCCAGTGCTTTGCTGCAAGCTTCACGTGCAGGTATATATCCCGCCCCCCAGTAGCCTATATTTAATTTAATTCACATTTATTTGTATAGCATTTTTCACAATACATATCGTTTCAAAGCAGCTTTACAGAAAATGCATGTCTAAATTACAATTTAGAGTGATCTGTTATCAGAGGTGACAGTGTAAAGCATTTCAATTAATTTTCATTCAGTTTCATCGTTAATTAATGCATTAAGTTAAAGCAGAAACGATGAGCTCATTGAAGTAAAAAATACATGTTGTTAAATGATTAGGAAACATAGAAAACTTTAGCATTGGTGCTTTTTTACATACTCAAAATATGAGTGTAAAAAAGTCAACAAACTGAAAAAAAATTTAGGTAATGTTATATTGTTAAACCTGGTTACATAAAATTGGTATCGAAAAAAGTATCGTTCAGGAACCGGTATCGAAGTCAAGGTATCGGTATCGGTATCGGTACCGAACATTTTGTTACGATACCCAGCCCTACAGAAGACTGGAGAGATGGACGTCTTCCATGAAAAACTGCATGAGTTTGTGTTTAAATGTCATTGTCATGTCCTTGCTCCTTGTCCTTGCATGTACCAAATAATGTCTGTCTGTTTCTGTAAAGTCATAACAAAACGCATCTTCTAAAACACTGATAATTCAAACTTTTTGTTATGTCGACCTTAAACTTGCCTTCCTGAAATAAGAGATTGTTTTCCAAACTTTACCTCCTACAGAGCGAAGCTTTCCTCTCTAGAGAGAAAGAGAGTGTTTCTGAGAAAGAGGGGGACATTCTCAGAGTTACATCCTCATTTCAGGAAGGCACATTTTCTCAATTTACTTGAACACTGGATGCTCATTTCTGTAAATTATTAAGTTTTAAGTGACCAGATCCACAGCTTCTCTTCTGTTTGTGGTGGCCAGCAAAAACAAGAGCTCACAAAACATCTCCATTATTCAGATGTTGCATGTAACAAGCGACAACAAAACTAGAAAGCTCCCATTTTATTTATCAGTCATATTTGATAATCGTAAAATGAACGAATATCCATTTTGCATAGTGTATATTATAATGTTGTGATGCTTAAATTCACTTGCTGTATTTCAAACTATGGAACGTTTACACGACAATGATGTACTAAAAACACTTTATTTTAAGGTGTCATTGTTACAGTGTAATTATATATTGAAGCACTGAGTAATATTAAGCAACTACATGTACTTACTATTGGGTTAGGGTAGGATTTGGTTGAGGGTTAGTTGCATGTAAATGTAATTATGCATAATTTACTGTTATTACTATGGTAAGTACATGTAACATATGTAACAAGGACACTGTAAAATAAAGTGTTACCGTTTTTTCTTTGCGTTTTCGCGAACAGACACCAATGTTATCAAAACTATCCTTGTTCACACAGATCCATAAACACTAAAAATGCTGCAGTATGCATGCCAGGCCAGTAGTTGGCAATGTCACTTTGTAAAAAAAACAACAACAAAAAACACACCTGTAGACTGAACACGTTATAAGCATGCGCATGACATCACCTTTTTCACCAATTTGTTTTGTAGTTTACACAGAGATGATAACTTTATCGTTTCCAAAAGTTCGTCTGAAAAAACAAACGAAAAATCTCTCTCTCTCTCTCTCTCTCACTCACACTCACACTCACACTCACACTCACACACAACCTTTTTGTGTACCGTTACACCCCTGTACTGTTGTGCTCTTTTAACCCTCTGGGGTTGTTCGTTTAACAGTCACACTTGGGGTGTTCGGGTCGGGAAAGGGCAGGATTCATATTTAAAAAAAAAAACATAATTTTTTTTTTTTTTTTTTACTTGTTTTTTATAATATTTTTTCTTTTCTTTTTTGATGTTTTGAGATAATTTCAAAAATAAAAATGATTTATAATTCATATTAATGCAATAATTATGACCCATTTTTTCCCCATTGAATATAATATATATATTTTTTTTTAAAGCTGTATTTCATTTTAGAGTCAAGCCTAGGCCTCATGAAAGTAATTTTTGAAATGAGATGGATGCCATCTGGTGGACAAACTGAGCATTTTAAAAATTCAAAACCCATATGTAATCTGAATTTATTAGTGTGTGTGTGTGTGTGTGTGTGTGTGTGTGTGTGTGTGTGTGTGGACGTGTCTGTTTTGCACTCTTGATGTTTTATAGATTCACCCCTTCACTGTTGTGTGCTTTTTTTCTGGATCGTGGCTGATTTGTAGATTGTACGCACAAAAATTGGACCTCCATTTGGACCTCCATTTGGACCTCCATTTGGACCCGAAGGTCCTGAGTGTGACACTTTTTTTTACAACCACTTAGACTATTCAAATCCTGTCCCCAATTTTTTTGGGTGTTCATATACCAAGTACCAACAAAGTCACCAAATTTCGGACCATTCCGATAAAGCTATGATTTAAAAAAAAAAATTATTTAAATGCTTCGGGTCCATTTGGGCCGAACAACCCCAGGCCCAGAGGGTTAAATTTCTCATGTTTTCCATAGTTTCTTGTTTATTAATGAAAGTTTTTTAGAAAGACATTCTGTCAATCTAAAGATATACGGTCAACAGACTATATTTCTATCTCTCTCACAGCATAATCTTTATTCACATTAAAAATGGCTTCTACTCTTACTAGGGTCCATGTCCTCCATCTCCCAGCACACCAAAATGCTGTCGCTAGACTTATTTTGAACCTCCAAAATGTTTCTTACATTATCTCTCTGCTGAGGTCTTCACAATGCCTGCCAATTTCTTCTGCAATTCGATTCAAAACACTGTTCTTGGCCCAATCATCTGCCAATGAGCTTCACTTAATGACTTCCACACCTGAACCACTGATGCCCTGAGT